GTGTGACTGGGAGTGAAATTCTGAAATGTGAAAGGAAGATACAAAACATTTTCAGATTACTCAAAATTTTGGTTAGCCTAATATTTTTTCCCAAATCTGTCTTTGCCATCTATGCAGTCCTACTTTCCAATTCTCTAATTATTTTCATTCCCACTCACCCTACCCAAGTTTTTCCACATCCCTTTCAAGTGACCTGAATTTAATGAGATAAATTTCTTGATAATGAGCAGATCATCATCTATATCTATCTATCTATCTATCTATCTATCTATCTATCTATCTATCTATCTATCTATATCTATCTCCCTGGTGTTAAATAATTTATTTTTAATTATGACGACTGAATGGAAACAATTTGAAAGCCTCCCGACTATTGCATGATGGAAGAAATGTGGGTGCTTTGTGTTGTTTTTTGTTTTGGAGGATGATGCCTGATTCCTTCGGAGCCACCAGGGACCAACACAAAATTATGGCCAGAGGCCATCCTAACTGAAGCTGGTCTGAGGCTCTCTTCCTTGCAAGGTTCTAGCAACATCCTAGACATAGTTGTTACTGGTCTGGGAGTGGTTCTGTTTTTATTGGTAACATAGACCTCATTTTTAAGACCTTCTTTACCAAGATAAGTCTGAAGACTCTTCAGCAAACAATAAGAACAGAAAAGAAATATACCCAACACTCTTTAAAAAATTTTTTTAAATTGATGTCAGAGAGGAAGGGAGAGGGAGAGAGATAAATAGCAATGATGAGAGAGAATCATTGATCAGCGCCTCTTGCACGCCCCTGAATGGGGATTGAGTCCGCAACCCGAGCCCCAACACTCTTATTTAATCCCTAAGGCCAACCCATAGAGTCCTGACTTATAAATGAAGAAGCTGAGGTCTAGAGATGTTAAGTGATTTGCACAAAGAGCAAACAATGGAGCTGGGATTGTACCTCCGGCCTGTCTGAGGAGGATTCTTTTTTTTCTTTTTTAAAAATATATTTTATTGATATTTCACAGAGAGGAGGAAGGGAGAGAGATAGAGAGCTAGAAACGTTGATGAGAGAGAAACATCGACCAGCTGCCTCTTGCACACCCCCTACCGGGGATGTGCCCACAACCAATGTACATGCCCTTGACCGGAATCGAACCTGGGACCTTTCAGTCCGCAGACCGACGCTCTACTACTGAGCCAAACTGGTTTCAGCCTGAGGAGGATTCTTAAGGGACACCGAGGAGAACTGGCCCTGTCTTGTTTTTGTTTCTTTGGCTCTCTCACTGGTCTTGGAAATGCCCACAGACCAGTGCAGGCAAGTTCAGGACCGAGAGGAGACTGCTCAGGGATCTGAAGAGGAGAAAGATGTTTCTTCAGAGGCGAGCCCCCTCAGCCGTGACCAGACCCCCAGGGCCGAGTCAGGAAGCCCAGGCACCAGTGCTGACCTGAGTGCAGGAAGGACTGACCCAGCTCTGTTGGGGCTGACCCAGTCACTCAGGGGCCCAGCCGAAGGTGGGCTGGACTCCTTTTGTGCCCCTTTCCGAGTCTTCCTAAGTGGGGCATAGCCTTTTCCATAAGGTTGCCAAAGGTGAGTGTATACTTCTTCCTAGCATCTTATGAAATTCGGATGTGCTTTCTTTATCAACGATTAAATTATTTTTGTTTTATTTGTTTTAACTTTGGTAAAAATACACATAACATAAAAGTTATCATCTTAACCATTTTTAAAGTCTACGGTTCAATGGCATTAACTACCTTCACTTTGTTGTGCATCCATCCATCTCCAGAACTCTTTTTCATCTTCCCAAACTGCCCATTAAACACTCACCTCCCACCTCCCAGCCCATGGCAGCCACCATTCTGCTTTCTATCCTATAAATATGATTACTCTGGGTACCTCAAACAGGCAGAACGATACATCTGTCCTTTTTTGACTGGAGTATTAGCATACGTCCTCACAGTTCATCCACACTATAGCATGAGTTGGCATTTTCTTCCTTTTTAAGGCTGAATAATATTCCATTGTATGTAGAGGCCACATTTAGTTTATCCACTCATCCTTTCATGAACTCGGGGGTTGCTTTCACCTTTCCGTTACTGTAAGTAATACTGCTATGAACATAGTGTACACATATCTCTTTGAGACGATTTTCAATTATTTTAGGTAACTACTCAGAAGAAGAATTGCTGATTGGATCATTGTATTTATTTTTCCATTTCCCTTTAATCTTCACCCAAGGATATGTTCATTGATTAGAAATGAGAGAGAGAGAGAGAGAGAGAGAGAGAGAGAGAGAGAGAGAGAGAGAGAGAGAGAGAGAGAGAGAGAGAGAGAAGAGAAGAGAAGAGAAGAGAAGAGAAGAGAAGAGAAGAGAAGAGAAGAGAAGAGAAGAGAATTGATCAGCTTCTTCCCATATGAGCCTTACCAGGGTTGTGGGGTGTGTGTGTGGGGGGGGGGGGGGGGGAGGAGTACCCAACTTGCAACCCAGGTATGTGCCCTGACCAGGAATTGAACCTGCAGCCTTGTAATGCACAGAACAACACTCCAGCAACCGAGACACTCACCTGAAGAGAACTGGTCCTATTTTGTTTTGTTTCTGATAGGCCGGCGCAGTTATCAGTGTATTTTTTATAGAGATGTGTTGCTTAATGAACAAACTGTCCTGTACTTTCTCTTATCGCCTCTCTTCCCTGCCCTTGCCTCACCTAACACACTTTTTTCTCACCTAACACACTTTTTCCCCCCTGACCTTCATCTCCCGCACACCTGACTGGAACTAATTGCTACAGCATTGCTAGCATTATTTAAGGTTGAAGCTTACAATGTTAAAAAATAATCAGACCTAAAATGAGCCAGTGAGCCCCTTCCCTAATAATCCAAATTGAAACAGAGGTTTCTAGTCTGACTGCTCTGTGGGGAAAGGGAGATTCAAATTCAGAACTGTTGGCAGAAGCCAGTCTCCACCAGATTTGGGAGTCAGAACTGATCTGAGAGAGAACGAAGCAGCTGCACAGAGAGGAGCAGAATTAGGAGCGGGAGAGGGGAGACTTGGGTTCCCTAAGCCCTTGTGTCCCTGGCCAGCCGGCCTGAAGTCCAACGCTCTTAGATGCCATGGACTGGCCCGGTCTCCTTGTTGTGTAGGTCCCATGGTGCTCAAGCTGGTTCCTATATCCAAGGTCCTAGCTCAGCTCAAACAGGCATGCCCAACTTAAATGGGCTTTTCACTTAAGTCTTGCTGTAGCGGCTAAGACCATCGGAAAACACAGATATTTACATTACGATTCATGACCGTAGCAAAATTAGTTATGAAGTAGCAACGAAAGTAATTTTATGGTTGGGGTTCACCACCACATGAGGAACTGTATTAAAGGGTCACGGCATTAGGAAGGTTGAGAACCACTGGTCTAGGGTAAAGCTAAGGCACCGCCACCCATCCCGAGAGGGAGAGCACTCAGCCTCCCCATCTGAAGGCAATAGCAGAATCCAGAAGCTGAGCCTCTTCCGCTGTCCACAGGGATCTGTGGGCAGCCGTACAGCCTGCTTCAGCGGCATCTTGGGAGGCTGACCTGGGACAATGGCCGGATGCGACTGGGGTTTGTGCTGGACCGGCCTCGGTGACTTGTGTCCAAGTCAGCACCTGGGTCAGTTCCTGAACGGGCTGCACCTGGAAGCTGTCATCCTCTTCTAGAGCGGTGACGCCTTGGGTGTGGGCCTCTCACCCTCAAGTGTCATCCTGGGGAGAGGGGCTCGGAGCCACCCTGACCGAATGCTCTTCAGAGCCCCGACAGGTCAACCTCCAAGCGATGGAGGTTAAGGGAGGTGCACCAACCACCCCAGACCCCAGTGCCACTCCCACAGCTGGGGCGCTCAGGAAATGGGCTGTGGGCAGTGTCTTAGGGCAAAAGGCAGGAGAGTGCAGAGGAAGCAAGAGGGTGTTGGTCAGCTCAGGCTCCTGGAGAGGGCCCCAGGCCCGTGCTGGCACAGCGCCCCAGGGGTGGAGGCTGGATGGTGGGGACCCAGGGCTCTGCTCTAGCTGCTGCCCAGGAAGGAAGGGCCTTCCCTTCATTTCTCTGGGGGAGAGGAGTGCCAGGACACTCAGTCTGGGGTCTCAAGGCCAAGGTCTGAGGAATCTCAGCCATCTTCAAGGTCAGCTCTTTCTGTTCCACAGACAAAATGCCCAAGGAACACTGGACTGGGCTCCATACTTGCTGTTTACACAGGAACTCCTTATGTACATTTTATTTTCAATTATTCCATAACCCAATTTCCTTAGTCCCTGTCAGTGACACTCTTGTTCTCCCCAGTTTGCAGGTGGAACTGAGCTTCAACTGCATGTCCCTTACAAGGGAAACCGACAAAAAGTGCCACATACAATGAAGCTAGATATAGGAAAACTGTGTTCAGCGGAATAACAAGACAAAGACTCTCTTTCTTTCTTACTAAATTAAAAATAAATAAATAAATAAAAAAGAGAGACTCTGTCTCCTTGCTGCCCTCAGCTGGTATAGAAAGACAGTGCTCTGTTAGGATAGATTCCTCCAGTTCTTACTTATTCAATTGCCACACCAAAAGCATCTAAAACTTTCCCTGTACCTCGGAAGAGGGTAGCTTTCATTCATAAATCCTGATGGGTTTCGGCTGCCCTGCCCAAGAAGGACGAGCAGATGTTACCCTTGTCTTCCTCCTTTGGAAAGACCCTGGCAGTCCGCTTTCCTCGGGAGGGTGGCTGGTGAAAGCACCCTGGTCAGAGCACGAGCATCCGCCTCCAGGATGCCCGTCTCCCGCCCGCCAATCAGTGTGCCTGCGCCATACACTGTCCTATACATGAAAAGAAGTCTCTCGTGACATGAAGTAAGTAGGTGGTATGTTTTCCAGGAGAGGAATATAAAACTCAGCCCAACCTGAATTTCAAAGCATTTATTTCTGTCTGGGTAAAGAGCTAATTGGCCCCAATCAATTTAATAAATAAATTTTTTAAAAGAGCAAATTGAATGAAAAAAAATAAACAAACGGATTTAACACACTTAAATTATGCAGAATTACCTTTATTTGGTTGCAACCCTAACTTAATTTTTCTTAAAATTAATACTATTTCACTTTTACATTCATAAAAGCAACACCACTGCACTGCAAAATTGCCCACATGCAATTAGGTACCTGGTATATGCATTCTGATTTGTTCACAAGTGAAAGAAAGATTGTGTCATCTCATTAAGAAAATATTTTTTAGAAACCTCATTTCATTTTGATTTTTTTAAAAAGAGTTATAGCAAAGAGCTGTTTCAAAGGTTGACTCTTTGTCCTTTCACAAGCCGTCCTCGAAATCTCCAGACATCCTGGAAATAATGCCAAACAAAAGGAGTTCAGTTTGTCTCTTCACCATAAAAGAAAGCAAATTTCTAGCATCTACAAATGGTTAAATGGAGGGGAGGGGAAACGGGATGTGGAAACCTCCACAATAGTCCTACCAGTTAGAAGATACACCATATTCTGAGGCTCCGATTTACTTGCCAACATCTAACATCATGGTAAACAATCTAAGGCAGGGAGCCCCCCAGCTGTCAGCCCTATTGCACTGGGCCCCCTTGTTGGTCACCGGTCCGCAGCCGGCTGATTATGATGCTCGGTCTCAGTACACACAGTTCACTACCCAACTTCCTGCCTTCAGTTTGGTCCTTTTGAGTCATCTGCTCCTGATTAGGTCATAATCATGCCAATGATGCTATAAGTTACTGGTTTATTTGCTTTTTCTTTGTTCTTCATAAAACAATTCAGACTTTTAAATTTATTTCTTATTTCTTTTTTATTTTTGAGCAACCAGCAAGGTATAGAGAGAACGATTTTGGAATTCAACCTGATTCTGAAGTCTAGCTTTTGTCACGTAACAGGCCCACCTCTTGGACGATTTTCTCATTAGGAGCATGCAGCTCTAATGACTGCTGCATTAGATTTTGGTGAAGAAATAAGAAAAAGAGTATGAAAATGCTCTTGTTTGTACCTTAAAAGAACTATAGAGCTAAATTTTGTAGTGCTATTGTAGTAAGTAAAATTGATAAACTAACTTTGAAGGTAACTAAAATAAATACAGGGGGTAATGCATTTAGTGCAATAATGACAAACCTTAAGCCGAGACCTGTTTGGCTCAATGGATAGAGCGTTGGCTTGGGGACTGAAGGGTCCCGGGTTTGATTCCAGTCAAGTGCATGTACCTTGGTTGCGGGCATATCCCCAGTAGGGGGTGTGCAAGAGGCAGCTGATCGATGACTCTCTCTCATCGATGTTTCTAACTCTCTATCTCTCTCCCTTCCTCTCTGTACAAAATCAATAAAATATATTAAAAAAAAAATAATGACAAACCTCAGACTGAATTATACATTCCCTGCCTTAAAATTCAGGGTGCTGGACGGAAACCACCACTGTGTTGACAAACTACATTGCCTTTGTAAGCCATTTTACATATTGGACAAAGGGAGAAGGACGATACTTTCTAGAATCTGCAAATGTGAGATCAGAGCATTTTCAGAGGTGGGGTACATTCATAGATTCTAAGGGGAGAAAGGAGTAAAGGGCGAAATAAGATTCTTGAGCTGGGAAGGTGTTCAGAAAATGATTCCCGTTCAGTGCTCTTCACAGAACTGGAAGGCTCCGTCTGTGTGAGGGTGGTGTCCCCCAAGAGGAAATGCATTCATTTATGACTACCTAACATAAATTTAAAAACTGATCAGCTTCTTGGCTCCCAGGCTAAGATGTACATAGTCTACAAAGCAAATATGTCTATTGCCTTGACTGATAATTTTTCTATTGATCCTCATCAGCATTGAATGTTCCCTAATTAAAAGCAAATAATTTACAAGTGATGTGTATGAATTAGGAAAGCATATGAAGTATCTCACAGCTCTTATTGATAAGCGTTAGCGATCTATCTCTGTGCATGCAAACAAACACTTGCCTAAGAATTGCTTCCTGGGAGTCTTATTGGATTTCCAAATGTATAAATTTCTATTCTCTACAAATAAAGGAGGACTATGATTGCTAGTCCAAACCTTTAACTTTCCTTATGTTCATTCCGGAGGTAGTCTGTCATCCTTCATTTCCTGTCCTCGAATATGTTTCCTATTTTCTATCCTGGCTGACTGTCCTGGACCAAGGTAGCCTGCGTACGCCAGGACAGCCCGAGTTCACAGAGACGCCAGCCCGCCCTCAGCTCCCCGCACCGGGAAGCCGTGCAAACTGAGACCCCACGGGCATTCTCCCGGGTCTCAGCCACGTCCTGCAGTGAGCTCTCACCACAAGCACTTCTACCTTCACGTTAAATCAACAAGGAGGATTCGTAAGCACCTGAAGAAGAGACAAAAACCGAGACCTTTCCCTTGTCATTCATGCGCTTACCTTCAGGGAGACACCATCTTTCACTCCGTACAGCTTTTCTGCTAACGACACAATTTCGTTCTCAATGTTTTCTTGACTGGTGCCCTTCACATCGATGTAGTGGCAGTTGGCACTGGCAAAATGGCAGGAAATTGCCTGGGCAAAGTGAACCAATTAATATTAACGGGTGAAATCACATCAGCACCAGCAACCAAGCAAGGTTTCTTTTAGAAAGTCGGTTATTTCACTCAGCATTTGATTTCTAGATTGAAAGCTGTTCCATGGTGCCTTAAATCAGTCTCCTTGTGGCTCAGTAGTTTTTCCTTCTCTCAGCTTAAGGCTGCTTGAGAAATTGCAAGAGATTTTTTTTAACTAGCTGTGGTATTTATTTTCAAAAGGCATTTATAGGGCAGGGAATATAATTCCATTAAGTCAGAGGTCTTAAGTAGTTGAAAAAAATATTGAAAAGATGCTATATCAGCATATTAAACTCCTCATGTTTTGTACTGTGGTCTCTACCTCGCTTGGCAGGGCTGAGGTCTGTGCTAGGAAACCACCTAATCTGGTGAAGAACCTCCCACTACAGCCACTCAGATTCAAATTGTTGGCACTGTGCTCATCATGGATTTTTTTTGCAGTGATTTTGATTTTTTAAAATATTGTAACAAATATTATTTAACTGGATTCTTTAGTTTTTTTAGTCGCTGCCCCTTAAATTCTGCCCCTGAAGAGAATGCCTTCTCACCTCACTCTCATCCTGGCCCCGCTGAGCCCGGTGGAAATATGAATGAATGAAAGATGAAACCTGGCAACGAACCCTCTGCCTCAGGGAGACAACTGGGGTTGCCCTAACAACCGAACAGCCTCACTGAGCCCAGAGAAGACCCCAATAGTTAGTATGACAGTCATGTTATCAGGGGGGACATGTGAGTCCACACCACAGTTCTGCCAGATGTGCTGAATTTTAGAGAAATGAGAAATTGCGAATTTATGAGAAATTTGTCAAGTTTTAATGTAAGCAATGAAATCATTAAGTTTAGAATCTCGAAATCCTGGCTGGTTTGGCTCACTGGATAGAGCTTCGGCCTGCAGACTAACGGGTCCCAAGTTCAATTCCTTTCAAGAGCACATGTCTCACCGAAACCGGTTTGGCTCAGTGGTAGAGCATCGGTCTGCGGACTGAAAGGTCCCAGGTTCGATTCCGGTCAAGGGCATGTACGTTGGTTGCAGGCATATCCCTGGTAGGGGTTGTGCAAGAGGCAGCTGGTCGATGTTTCTCTCTCATCGACGTTTCTAGCTCTCTCTCTCCCTTCCTCTCTGTAAAATATCAATAAAATATATTTTTAAAAAAATGTTTTTTAAAAAAAGAGCACATGTTTGGGTTGCAGGCTCAATCCCCAGCCAATCAATGATTCTCTCTCTCATTGACGTTTCTCTCTCTCCCTCTTCTTTCCTCTCTGAAATCAATAAAAAATATATATTTTTTAAAAATTCTCTAACACTGAGGGTTGAAAACAATGACTGCTTGCTAAATCTAATTTCTGGACAGCCAATTCAGAAACTATTTTTTGAATATGATCAATAATATTTTTTTCAATAGCAATGATACTATAAACTTTTCTGTGATATGGTTTCAATGAGCTATATACCACATTCAAAACTTTATTATTTTAGTATGTAGCAATGGTTTTTGCCTCCAAAGCACAGGCTGTCAGCTCCCAAGAAAGCTCTGGTTCTGAAGCAAATCATGAATGGGATCCTGAGATCTCCTGGCTTCTTACTGATCTGAGCAAAAAAAAGCATGAAATGTATTTCCTGGCAATTAAATTGGACTAAAGGTTAGTTTAGTTAAAAGTCACAAATCTTTTTTGTTGTTGTTGTTAATCCTCACTCAAGGATATTTTTTCCAGTGATTTTTTTCTTTCTTTTTTTTGAGAGCGAGAGAGTGAAGGGGAGGAAGGGGTGAGAGGACAGAGAGAGCTAGAGAGATGGAGAGACACACACACGTCATTGTTGTTGAGAGAGGCACATGGATTGATTGCCTCCCACACATGCCAGGGATCAAACTTGCAACCCAAGTATCTGACCTTGACTGGGAATGGAACCTGTGATCCTCTGGTGAACAGGTCAATGTTCTAACCTAGGGGTGTCGAACTCAATCAGAGAAGGGGCCAAAATCTAAAATCCAGCCTAAATCGCGGGCCGAATGGTTTACTGAACAGTCATAAACTGTCATTGTGATGGAAACGCAGCGGAGTGCAGTGATGACAGCGTGGTGCGGGCCACATTGCAAGGCCTGGCGGGATGGATTTGGCCCGCGGGCCTTGTGTTTGACACATGTGCTCTAACCACTGAGATACCGGCTATAGCAAAAGTGTCAAATCTTTTAAATTTCAATATATCTTGGCATTTTTGTGTTTGAGCATTCATCTTTGAAAAGTGCTGTTATATTAATGCATACCTTCCGGAATCCTTGAGTTCTGTTCTGACCAGATCCATGGATGAGCAAAGGATGGAAGAAAACGGTGTCTCCCTTCTCCATCACAAGGTGAACCCGGGCATTGTTTTCATCATAGTCCTGGATCCCGTGGAACATGATGTTAACTCCCCCCTAGCACACAGAAGAGAGCCAAGTCTGTATTTGAGAACGCCAGTAATTACAAACTTTATAGATCATCAGGTAAAGCAAAGGTACTTTAAGTTCTTCCAAGAGGAGATTTTTTAAAAAAATGTAACTATACAAAAGCTTGTCTGATGTCTGGCTTTTAAAAGTCACCTGTTGATATTAAAATCACAGATTTTTTTTTAACAAATAAAAACTTTGGAATTTCTTCCTACCCTTTGTTACTGAATAATAAATGAAGCTCTAGGTCAGCTTTGCATTTTCCGGTTAATGCAGAACTTTCCAGCCCGAACTCATGATCATTCTTTCTCAGCATGGTAGTCTCCTCACCTAGAACTTCACATAGATCATTCTCCTGTGATTCAAGAGTATCCCTGAGAAACTATTCTCCAAAACTGGGGGGGGGGGGGGGGGGGGGGAAGAATGTTCAATTTTCTGAGCTCGTGTCTCGTCCAGAGTAAAAGAAAGAAGAATCACAAATTATAACACTGTGTTTGTTTATAACTGCTTCCAAAGTTAGCTATTGCTTTAGGGAAAGGCTATGTCTTTATTAAAAACTACAGTGAGAAGTGATTTAAAGCTTACAAGCCTTTATGAGGGGGTGGGGGCTGCTGTCCCGGGGTAGAGGCAGCATCCCATCTCCCCTCCTAAGCCTGAACTCTGTTAGGACTTTGGTCCAGTGCACTTCTCTCCTGGCCAGGGGGGATATGCCCCAAGCTAAGCCAAACTGACCCCCATTTCAGCCACTCAGATTCAAATCTGAGCAGAGGATGGAAGAGACCAGACACAGCCAGGGTTCAACTGCCCACATCAAGTGCCCCAACCCATTCTTCCCACTGAGCTACATCAGGCCTAGCCAGCCTTCCAGGGACTGAGCAAGACCTGCGGCTCTCCAAAAGCATTCCCTTTTGTCTGCACCAAACCTTCCCTAAACCTCACCTTAATTGACAAATCTCACAATTTCAGATTTTATGTCAAAATCCAGTCTCTCTCTCTCTCTCTTTTTTTTTTTTTACTTAGCACTATTCATCAGCACACCAAGTCTCACTAAGACAGAAGTCTTTAGCCCTAACCGGTTTGGCTCAGTGAATAGAGCGTCAGTCTGTGGACTGAAATGCCCCAGGTTCGATTCCGGTCAAGGGCATGTACCTTGGTTGCAAGCACATCCTCAGTAGGAATTATGCAGGAGGCAGCTTATTGATGTTTCTCTCTCATCGATATTTCTAACTCTCTATCCCTCTCCCTTCCTCTCTGTAAAAAATCAGTAAAACATATTTTTAAAAAAAGACAGAAGTCTTTAAAGCTATAAATTCTCTTTACTTCCTACAGGACCACATTCATTCTTTCTGCCTTAATAACAGGTGCTCTTCCCATTCTGACCATCATTATTGGGGCTGCAAGATGTACTGCCTTACACCTAAAGCAGTGTCCTCTCCGGTTTTCCTGCCTCTGGACTCCTACATCTTCAATGCATCCTGTGCCACACCCAAGATAATTGGTCTTGAAGAACCAGATTGGTCTCATCACTTCTTCAGCATCAACAGCTGAATCAGACAGCCGTGGGACAGCCACACAGTGGAATACTGCTCCATCCTCCCAGAGCTTCTGCCGGTCTCTCCAGCGGGAAGATGAGCCCTCCCTCTTTTCACTCCAGGAGCCATCAATCACTGTGTAACAATTACTTGGCACCTGGCACATGCATCTGGCTGTGCAATGTGTATGTCTTACCTTTGCAAATTAGGCTCTATAATCTCGGATCCTACCAAAGTTCCCTGTGTTGATTGGCTTTCAAACCCTTGTTGAAAGTGCAAAAATGAGTACTTTATCTAACATCCTTGAATTTTCCCTGATGAGGATTCCAAATCCTAGACCAATGTTTGGCTGTGAAAGGAAATGCCATCCCATGGGTAAGGCTCTTTATGTAGACGAATGGGAAATCAAAACAACGAAAGATTCTGAGCAAGACTCCGCTGTAAGCAGACCCACCTCCCACTGGGGATAATCGTGCGGCTTCAGGGTGCCTTTGTGTGTGCCGGGGAGCACCACCAGGCAGCCGTTGTTCCGGTCAATGTGCTCCATGGCCGTCCAAGCACAGACGATGCTATTGCTGGGCCTGAAGGGGAAGTAGTGCAGGTCCTGGTGCAGGGGGTGGCGGGATGTCTTCTTGCCTGAAAGGGAAGCTGCTGTTAAAAGACGCTCAGAATCCTCTTCCGCCCGAAAAAAACAGAATAATGACCAGTCCCCGCAAAAGCCAATCAAATAAAACGATGTTCTAGATTCTAGAAAATCTGCCTCAGGTGATAAGCACTAAATTGGAATATCAAATCAACACAGGGACTCCGGATCCTCTATTTTTTTCTGGGTTTCGGGTAGCCGAGTACTCACACTTTTTCTAGCAAGTCATACATATGTCATCATCGCTATTGTGCTTTATTCCTTTCTGACTCTGGGTTAGGCACAGGGCCTAGTGTTAAAAAACAAAGTTTAATTAATTACATTGAAGAGAGTGGTCAACTTTGAGGTCCCCTGATAGTCTGCAAAATTTTTTAAATTACCTAATAAATAAAAAAGCCCCTAAGAGGTTTCCTCACCAAGCTAGAAGCATTTGGTCTATAATCACTGTGCAGAGTCAGAGATGCCACGACCACATTTACATTTACATTTCGCCCTGGTTTTGCTCTCTGATTCTGACTCCCAGGCCCCCTGATCTCTCCAGGCTCTTGCAACTATCTTTATGAGAACCAAGATGACAAACAGTCATCCAGGGGGAGAGACTTGGTGATGTTGAGCTACAGGCCTGTCACATAAGCCTCTCCTGGCCCTCGAGGAAGAAAAAGTGGAAAAGATGAAAAGAACTCTGATGACAAATTTACTACCACTGGTATAGCAACATTTCTCCGTGTGGCCCTACCGCCATCTGCATAAGATTATCAGGGGATGGTAAATAAAATGCAGATTCCTGAGTACTACCATCCAAATTAATTTCTCAGGAAATAGGGTTTCAGAAGCTATATTTTAGAAAGCACAATAAATTTTAAGAACAACTGTAGTATGTGATTTATAAAAATAGATTAAATTTTGTTAATGACAATAATAAAGGCAGAATTCACACTATCACAAGTGAGGATGGTTAATAAAGCTTAGAGATGTTGAATAATAGGAGCTTATGTGATATAAACTGTTGTTTAACCTGAATTTTTAAGAACCCAGTCATCTGAAAATCCAGCAGTAATAACCCTACAGTTAATATATGAAATCACTATTATGTATACTAACTGTTGTTATGATGTAAGCTATTTTGAATTAAAGTACTGTAAAACACAGAATTCAAGTGGGTAAATTTAAATTGGCTGTATTGAATGACGTACGCATTGAGCAGCATTCAATGCAGCAGACAGGAGGAGCTCGGAGGAGCTGTGCCAAATGGAAGGCTTTGGTAGGCAGATGGTGGAGGAGAAGTAAGTTACTAGACCAGAGGACTGTTCAGGCAGTCCCTTTAGGGGAGGGGCGGGGGACCAGTGGGCAGATGACCTCATTAGTGCTGAACGGGAAAACCCAGACTGACTGATTAAGATTTCATTCCTGGGAGGAACTGAAATGCAATGTGGTTGGGTATTAAGGCTCAGCGTGCTGAGTGGGCGAGCACAAGGGATTGCATTTTAGGCCTGATGTTGCTCTTTTAACAGTACACATACTCACTTATGCAAAGTGTAGCACTTACAGACATAGCTATAGTGAGAACATCAACCTTATGTATTTAATAAAACATGCTTTCCTTCCCCTGAACAAATAAGAGGCCTTTACCAGAGTCTGGAGGTTTGTTTATCAGCATGGTATGCATGGCCATGATGTTGGGTCCAGTGAAGCACTCCACATATTTCAGAATCTAAAGGAAAGTGGTGGGGGAGGGGGAGAGTTCATGAGAAATCAGATGCACAAGCAAGTGGCACAAAGTACAAATATCTTTATGAGAACCAAGATGACAAACAGTTTAAAAAAGCCAATCTCACAACATTGCCAACAAAGCCTGAAAAAGTGAGACCTGGAAAGCATTGGAAATCTCTAACACACTGAATTAATAGGCTTTTCAGAGCCTATTGGAAACTTAACCACTTTTTCTACAAGAGAGATAGAAGTTTCTATGAGAGACCGACTGGGAAGGACAGGTATTCCCTTCTTTCAATCAGAGCTGACGACAGTTGCCCAGTGAGAAGCTAGGTTCCTCCTCCTCCATGGAGGCTGCTCATGGGGAGGGACCATGACAGGACCCAACCCACACGCAGCTGCCATGAGGAGCCCAAAGGGAAGGGGAGCAGCAGCTCAGAGGACCTGCACAGTCAGTGTGACCGTTCACTCGGCTCTTTACTGAGGTCTGTGAGCCAGGCAGAGGGACAGGAAACGGGACACAACAGTGAGCTGCCCCTCAGAGTTTACATCACAGTCTGGTGGGAAGAAGGGTGTTGAAGAATAAGCCGCAATGAGAGCATGTGACAGGGCGGGCTGAATTGGGTCACAGGCTCCAGCAGCTGGGTGTTGCCTCCAGCACCTATCCCCCGGGGAAGGGTGAAGTACAGAAAGGACTCAACATTGAATGCCTACTAAATACTTGCCAGGGGCTTTATGAAATCAGCCCAATTAAGCCTCAGAGTAATCCCTGAAAATTAATGTCCCTGCTAAATAATAATCCTTTAAAACAAATATTCCCCATGAATAAGTCTGAGACCGATAAATTGCCCAAGCTGGCAGAGTCAGCTACATGAAAAAGCTGATATTCAAACTCCAATTCTGACTCCAAAAACTGAAGCACATTTTATTGCTTTCTCGCTATTTGGTATCTTGGGTATAAGGAATCTATATATAAAAAAGCCTATACCACCTTAATAAAAGAACAACTGGTCGCTATGGCATACACTGCCCACCAGGGGGAGACGCTCAATGCAGGAGCTGCCCCCAGCCACAGGCCCCATCACCAATGGGGCTTGAGGGCCAACTTCCTGGTTCCTATTCCCAGCCGGCAGGCCCCAATCACCCAGTCAGGACCAAGCCCCCTGGGCTGGGATGGGGAACCAGGGGTGGGTTGGCGGTGGATGTGGCCCTTTCCCAGGGGGGCCGAGGGCTAGTTCCTGCCTCATGGCCAGTGGCCAAGCTCCTGGGTCCCTTCCCCTGTCCCTCCCCACTGACTGCCCACCACAATGGTGGTTGGCCCCTTCTTTTGGCCCAGCAGGCCCTGATCAAGATTGGGGCCTGCCAGCCAGCCTCCCAGTCATCCTCCTGGCTGGCAGGTCCCGATTATGCCCCATCAGGGCTGGGGAACTGGGGGTGGGTGGTGGAGAACACAGGCAGCAAGGGAAGGAGAAGGCGGGGAGGTGGGGGACTGTGCAGTGGTGGTGAGGGCATCGAGGGAAGGAGGTGGGGAGGCAGGAAGGTGGGGAACCTGATCGTCCCTGATCGCCAGCCAGGCCTAGGGGCCCCACCTGTGCACAAATTTTGTACTCATTTGGAATTATTTTGAGTATGAGGAATAAGCCTGAGGAGTCAGGCCTGATAGTTGCTTTTTATAAAGCCTGTCATTTTTCTGTTTATTTTTCACTTAGGTCAGTATTTCCTAAACCTCAATCATTCAAAAGCCATCCTTATCATTTTTGCCATACTTCCCAATATAGTTAGCTAATGATTCTTTAACTCGTTTTAACTTAGCCTTATCCTGATTAATAATATCCTTGAGATCATGGGTTAGATGTGCTGGTTAGTTTTCAATACACATTAAACTAGATAGCTATTAAAATGTTGCATAAGTTCTAAACATTATTGCATGAACCACCAGAGACATGGTTCATACTTCAGAAATGTAGGAAACCTGACAATCCCGATAATTCATGTACCACTCGTGGCCTCCAATCTCGAGCTTCTCATCCCTGAACCACCCACGTCCATCACATAGCATGAGGCTGAGATGAGTGGATGGTCCAGAAGGGCCACTTCCCCTCGCCACCAATGCCTGGGGCTGGACCCCACAGACCTGTGCGGTCTTTCTTTAGGAGTCAAATTCTCTAACAGCCCTTGGGTTATAATTTCTAATAAGTACTATATGTAATGTCTCCTTTAATACCATTCTAAATGGATGGTTCATGAACTGTGGTACATGTGTGCAGTGGAATAATGCACAGTAGTTTTAAAAATGTAAGTAGATCCAGAGATACTAATGGAAAGATATCTAAGATCTCCCAGAAATGGAAAAAACAAGGTGACAACCAGTATGTTCCCATGGTACAAGGTGGGGGGCATACAGATATCCTTGCATATACACAAAATAATTCCAGATGAGTACATAAGAAAGCTGAGCAGTGAAGAAGGCTATGGGTGGGAGACTTTACTTTTCACTTTATGCCCCTCTGGACTACTTGGATATTTTCATAAGCATGAATTGCTCTTAAAGAATAATTATTATTTTAAAAACTAAATTTAAAATCAAACTCACAGTTCTGCTGACCAGACTCATAAATAAAACAAAACAAAAAATAAATGGCTTTACACTGAATAGCTTCAGCAATTTCACCCTTTGATAGGCTTGTATCAAGTGTAAGAAAGACTCTCTCTTTAACACAGAATTCCTTCCCATCTCAACCAAAGGTAATTAGCAAACTCTACAGTGCGGTTTCTCAATCAGGGCATTACTGACAGCTGGGACTGAATAATCATTTGTCTCGGGGAGGGGGTTGTTTTTGTGCATTATAGGATCCTGGAGCCCCATTAGCATCATCCTGGGTTCTACACCTTAGAAGCCAGCAGCACACCATCCCTCCTTGTCCATGTGTGACGGCCAAGCATGTCTCCAGACATTGCAAATACCCTCGTCTCCCATGGAGAACCACTGTTCTAGGATCACAGCAGAAAGGAGCTAAGTAAAGTAAAAAGAACAGATTTCGGAGGCAAGCATGCAAATGGGCTGTTAGCTCAGAGGAAAAAAATATTCAAGGTCTTGAACCTCAGGGAGAGTGCAGTATCTGAAGAGTTCCTCATCTTCTTGGAAATCTTGGGCCTTGGTAATCACTCTTTCACTTGGAGCAAGGTCTGTCTTCGCAATGGTCACATCTTTCATTAACATCAATCCAGCTGGTTTTACCTCTTGTCTGCAGAGTCTTTCAAACTCATTCCTAGAAAATTAAGTTGATAAATGATGTCCTTACTGCTGGTTCCAAGCACCTGCCTGACCTTGTTCTGGGAAAAATTCACAGCGTGGATGGGGGCATTCCCTTTGCACTAAGTTGGCCTCCAGCCCCAGGTTGAATGATTCTGAAGCAAAGGAGGAGAAAATGGCCAACTCAGAAGTCCCTGCCTCCTATCTGTGAGGCTAGAATTCACTACATACTCCTTAGGTTAGAAGCCCATCTGAGGACATCCATGTGACTTGGTTACACCTGAAGAACAGCAAACACCTCTGTAGCACTAGCAGCACTCAGGCCCTGTTCCAAGTCTTCTCTCAATATGTTTACCTTATTTAGTCCTAACAACAACTCTAGGTCATAAGTACATAACTATCCCCATTTTACAGATGTGGGAACAGAGACTATGGGAACGGTGAGCAAATGCCCAGGACACACAATGTTACCTGGTAAGGGTAATATTAAAGCCAGCCAGTCTGGCTCCAGAGCCCAGTTTCCTAAGGAGCCAAATCACCAAACGAGCACAAGCTAATCTTATTACATTCCCATCACATGCATAAAACATACACTTCTGTAAAATAACAAATAGTTACCATACCTAAAGCGTTCGATATCAGCATCAGAAACCAAATTTTTAATGACAAGAAACCCATTTTCTTCATAAAATTTTCTCTGTTCTAGGCTTAGAACATTATTATCCAGAGTATACCTAAAGGAGAAAAATGCATCTTAAATAATCACAAATCATAACCTAACAATATGTATCAAGAACCCAAGAAATGCTGATACCCTTCCATCCAGCATTTCTATTTCCAAGACTTTAAGGAAGTAATATGAAAAAAAAAAGCTTTAAGTCCAAAGCATTAACTACTGTCACAAAGAAATGAAAGAATTAATGAATTATTTCTCCATTCAATGGGATATGACTCAGGCATTAAAAATATCGGGTCTAGTAATAATTAATGTCGTTTTTAAACATTCGTTTAAAATCTTGCTTGGCGTTGACTTGTATTGACATAACCTTCAAACACGTGGTATCTACAGAACGTGTGAAGTGCAATTAACAAGTTTTGCTTGAAAAAGTTTGTGTTTGGTTTGGTTTTTGTTGCAAAACTAGGGCTAAGAAGATGGTGGATGAAGAGCATATTCGGCACTGCATGCTTTACGAGTTCCAATTAGGAAGAAAAGCAAGTGAGGCTGCAAAAAACATCTGTAGTGCTCTTGGTCAAGATGCAGTTAGCGCCAGAAAATGCCAGCGTTGGTTTGAGAAATTTCACGAGGGAAATTTTTCGTTAGATGACAAGAGTGGTTGAGGCCGTGTGTCCAATTTTGATCAAGAAGCTCTTCAAGCTCTTTTGGTGCAAAATCCTCAAATTACCCAACAAGAGCTTGCGACAACTTTAAATTGTTCACAAAAAACAATTTCCAATCAATTGCGTGCACTTGGCAAAGTCCAAAAGTTTGGAAAATGGGTTCCTCATGAGTTGACCGACAACAACCGTAATCAAAGAGTCACAATTTGCAGTTCGCTCCTCTCTCGTCAAAACCGTTTGCCGTTTTTAGAGCAAATTGTTACCGGAAATGAAAAATGGGTGCTGTATGTGAATTTGAAAAGGCGGCCTCAATGGTTGGACAAAAATGAGGCTCCGCAGCCCCACGCCAAAACCTGACTTGCATGCGAAAAAAGTGATGTTGTGTGTTTGGTGGAATTTTAAAGGAATTCTTCATTATGAACTTTTACCATCTAACCAAACCATTACAAGTGCAGTGTATAGTGTCCAATTGGAAAGGTTAGTCCAAGCTTTAAGAGAAAAAGAACCCGCGCTGATTAATCGGAAGGGCGTAATTCTTCACCACGATAACGCACGACTGCATACTGCAAGAATCACTGCTGAAAAACTGCGCCAGTTGGAATGGGAAGTTCTCCCTCAACCTGCATATTCTCCTGATATTGCCCCTTCTGATTACCATTTGTTTCGTTCTTTGCAAAACTTTCTTCTTGGAAAAAAATTTAATAATGAAGAATGCCTCAAAAATGCATTGACCGTATTTTTTGCATCAAAATCACAAGAATTTTACAACAGAGGGATTAAAATGCTTCCTGAGCGTTGGGCACAAGTAGTAGAAAACAACGGCAACTATATTGTTGATTAAATTTTGTTGTATTGTTTAAATAAATTTGATTTTAAAAAAAAGTATTAGAAACGACATTAATTATTACTAGACCTAATAGCAGCATAAAATAGCAGGGATAATGCTTATTATAATAAAATATTATTATAATTTATAAAGCTAAGATACTATTTATTAAAAAGTACAAAAATAATTTTAACAGTGAATACACCTTTATGTAATGAAATTATATATATTTTTTTGAGTTAAAAATTTCTTTTTGATATATTTTATTGATTTTTTACAGAGAGGAAGGGAGAGGGATAGTTAGAAACGTGGATGAGAGAGAATCATTTACCAGCTGCCTCCTGCACACCCCCCACTGGGGATGTGCCCGCAACCAAAGTACATGCCCTTGACCAAATTGAACCTGGGACCTTTCAGTGCGCAGACAGACGCTCTATCCACTGAGCAAAACCGGTTTTGACATGTATATGATTTTTAAAGATTCTATTTCTCTGACTTTAAATTTTGTTTTGTAATGAATAGGTATAGTTTTTCAGATTGGAGATATATATATATATATATACACACATACACACACACACACACACACACACACACATATATTCCGAAAGGAGAAAAAAATATCAGAAAGAGCATAATCTGGTTATATATATTTAATCTTCACCCAAGGAGTGAGGATACTTTTTCCCATTGAGTTTTAGAAAGAATGGAAGGGAGGAGGAAGTGTAGGAGAGAGAAACATTGATTGGTTGCCTCCCACGAGTCCCAACCTGGGGACTTGGGGAGGGGTGGGACCTGCAACTCAGGTACTTGTCCTGGTTGGGGAATCAAACCCGAGACCCTCCAGTGTGCAGGCCTATGCTCTGACCACTGAGCAACTGCGGCCAGGGCAGATTTTATATTTTTAATTGTCTAGTGCATGGATTCTCCAAAGAAATCAAATAAAAAAATGCACATAAGGCCCAAACCGGTTTGGCTCAGTGGGTAGAGCACATGTGTCAAACACAAGGCCCGCGGGCCAAATCCGTCCCGCCAGGCCTTGCAATGTGGCCCGCACCGCACTGTCATCACTGCACTCCGCTGCGTTTCCATCACAATGACAGTTTATGACTGTTCAGTAAACCATTCGGCCCGCGATTTAGGCTGGATTTTAGATTTTGGCCCCTTCTCTGATTGAGTTCGACACCCCTAGGATAGAGTGTCGTCCTGCGGACTGAAAGGTCCCAGGTTCAATTCCGGTCAAGGGCCATGTACCTTGGTTGTGGGCACATCCCCAATAGGGGGTGTGCAAGAGGCAGCTGATCGATGATTCTCTCTCATCGATGTTTCTAACTCTCTATCGCCCTTCCTCTCTGTAAAAAAATCAATAATATATATATATATATATATATATATATATATATATATATATATTTTAATTTTATTAAATGCACATATGTGTACAGCATACACACACACTCAAATCACCCAGTCCATTCCTCTAGTTGGAATTGTGGCTTTGTGAGAATACTCCTGGAGATCAGATTTTTTTTCTTTAAAGGTAACTTGAGATAAACTAAAGATGTTAGCTGATGTATCCTATGAGCATATGACAGGTGAATTTAAATACGATATAGCATGCCTGAATTTTAAACACCAGATTGTGCCTTTTCTGATATTTTTTTTCCTTTCTGAATTTTAAAATACGAATATAGAAAATTAAAGTCAGGATCCTCAAAAATTTCCACAAGCGTTCTAATTAGAACAAGTCCTGGAAATGGAGGCATTGCAGAATGAATTGTTACCAGGCAACAGGATATATTGGGTTTTATGTCCTAGTTACCACTAGAAGAGCCTTTATATGCATTGTATGGTTAAAAATTAAAGTTAGATCTACTTACTGGAATTGAGGATGGAAACTGGCAGAAGAAATAGCCCCTGCAGTGGGGTGAGCTATCTAGGATGCGAATTAAGGCAAATAAAAATGTAGGAGTCAGACTTTTCTAGAAACGAGTTTCTAGAAAAACTGGATTGGCTTTCACATGGGAAGACTGATCCCAAACAGATATCAAGCAAACTGCTTATGCAGAGAACCTCTGACAGTTACATACTGCTGCTTCCTCTCTTCATTTCACTCCCACCCACTGAGGAAGGGGCTGGAAGCTCTGAGATCAGTCCTGTCACTCAGAGCAGGAAACCTCGGCCTGGAGGGCTCAGCAGCTGGTCCAAGGTCACCCAACAGAAAGTGGCTGAGCCAAGACTTGACCCACAACCTTTCCTTCATAGCTTCCATCTATTTTATTCCACATGACTATTCCTTCCACTACACTGAGTGAATAAAAATTAAAGGGTCAATTCTAGAAGGAGAAACACGTGCTAGTCAAAAGAGGTATTTATTGTAATTTACTTGGAGTCCAGGCCAAAGTATTAGAAACAATTTGGCTGGTCATTTAAAAAAAACCTATAAAACAAACAATGATTCCAAGAAAAGTATGATCCACGCAGTCAAATATAATTTTAAAGAACTAGTAATTTGTTCTAATTTTTTTTCTCCAGTAACCATAGATTGTTGATTCAGCATCTATTGTTGCTTTTCTTCATTTTTTAAAATCATATCTTTAAAGAGTTATTTTCAGAATGTCCCTTCTCGTAAACATGTTATTTTTAAATGACATCTTATATAACTGGCACAATGTTATAGTCCAAAAGAAAGGCAGGCCAGGAGTCAGAATTACTAGCTACTGTCTGTTTTTCATGTGGCAGAGTTTGTCAACCTTTGTCAACTATTATCAGAAAAAAACAAACATGATTGCCAGGACAGTTTAAAGGTTAACATTCCAATGCAAAAAAACAAACAAACAAAAAAAAAGGAATTGATATGAAAACACTGAGTTCTGACCTTGACACAATTATCAAAGTAGTTACAGAGTGGATAGGAACCTCAATTGATTATATCTAGTCTCAATACAGCAGTGATTCTCTCAGTTGAGCATGTGTCAGAAACAGCAAGGATTTTGATTCCCTAGGTCTGAGATGAGCTTGAAAATCTACACTTCTAACCAGCTGCCATGTAGTGTTGATGTCCCAGGACCACACGCTGACAAACACTGCGTTAAACAACCTTGGTCCAGAGTTTTCATCTCGCCCAGCTTCAACTTTCTCACCTGAAAAACGAGATTATGTAATACCCTGCTTCCCTTCACCCGTCTGTGAACGCGATTGTAAATGCACAGGGGCTCGGATGCGTCGCCGCTTGGCACTCAGCTGGAGAGCAAGAGTGAAAGTAAAAGAAACAGCTGGTCCAGTCATGAGGTTTCAGGATCCCGTATCCAGCCGGACGGAGGCCGATCAGGCCGTCTTAGGGAGCAGCCCCAGGGAGCTTCGGAAAGTGCGCCCCGAAAGAGAACGCTTCATCCGAGCAGCAGGTACAGCTCTAACACGGGGTTTGATTTGCGTGCGGTATGCTGTAGGACAGCTTTCCGGACCCAACCCCGCTGCGCACCATTCCCTCCCGGGTTCTTCCTTCCTGGGGTCACTGAGAGCACCTGGCCTGGGGGTCCAGCCCGGAGCTCGGCGGGAAGAGCTGAGGGCGCGACTGACAGGGAGCTCCCTCCCCAGCGCGGAGGGGCGGGGGTCCCCGCCGAGGCCCTGCCGCCCGCCTCCTCCAGCCGCTGCGCGCCGGCCCCGGGCGCGGCGCCGCCCAGAGAACCACCCCCAGGTGGCCAGCAGGGGACCGCGGCCGCGCGCGCCGGAGGCCGGAGGGACGCCCGGTCGCCCCCGGCAGCGGGCACGGCGCCTGGGGGTGCGCTCTCCCCCGGGCCCTCGCGCCGGGCGCCGGAAGGGCAGTGCCCATCTCACGGACCGGGCGCGGAGGGCGGGGGAGAACCTCCGCGGCGGGTCTGCGATCGCCCTGAGGCCCCCACCCTCCCAGCCCGCGCCCCGCGCAGCCCAAAGGATACGACGGCCCCGGCCGAGGGGCAGCCGAGGTGGCCCAGCACGACGCGCAAGCGGGAGGCGGCGCGGGCTCCGTCCATGGCGGCAGCGGGAAGGACGGCGGCCGGGCGCGCCGCTACTAGGTCCTGCGAGCGGCCCCGCCCCTAGGGGCGTGGCCTGCGCGGGCCCCGCCTCCTCCGCTTGGAGGGCTCCGGGGGACCAAGGTCACCCAGTAAGAGAGTGAACCGCAACGTGACCCACATTCTTAACTGCGTAGTTTCGGATATGTTGTTCCACGAGACTGCTCCTTCCACTAAGCTGCTGAAAGAATAAAAATGTGTATTTTCAGCTCTACAAGTAACATGCTGTTAAAAACGCATTTAATTTTTTTTTTTTTTTGGAGGGGTCCAGTCCCAAATGTTAGAAGCTGGTCCTTAAAAAGGAAGAGGATTGGGGGGCTCCAGTGGCGCAATCGGTTAGCGCGCGGTACTTATAAAAAGGAAGAGCATGAAATAAATGACACACTGAAATGTCTGATCCACACAGTCTAGTATAATTTTAAATTTCCTAAAGAACTAGAATTTGTTGCCCTGGGCGGTTTGGCTCAGTGGATAGAGCGTCCACTGAAGGTTCGATTCTGGTCAAGGGCATATACCTTAGTTGCAGGCACATCCCCAGTGGGGAGTGTGCAGGAGGCAGCTGATTGATGTTTTTAACTCTCTTATCCGTCTCCCTTATTCTCTGTAAAAAAATCAATAAAATATATATTTTTAAAAAGAACTAGAATTTTTTTTTTCAATTCTATGATTTGGGGATAAGTACATATACACTCGTGAAACTCATCCCGACCATCAAGGCCATGAACATCCATGTGAGAGATCTCTCAAATTTTCCTCACATGCTTTATCATTATTTTTGTGCTTATGGTAATAGATACAATCTACTCTCAGCAAATTTTCAGCACTAGGCTGCATTGTAGATCTCTAGAACTATTCATCTTGCATAACTGAACCTTTGTACCCTTAAACACCTCTCCATTTTCCCCTCCCAACGGCCCCTGGCAAACACCATTTCACTCTTTGCTTCAATGAGTTTGACTCTTAGATTCCACAGATAACTAGTATGTGTCCTTTTATGACTAGTTTTCCTCACTTAGCATAAAGTCCTCAAGATCCATCCATGTTGAGGCAATTGCAGGATTTCCCTCTTTATTTATTTATTTATTTATTTTTAATTCTTTATTGTTTAAAGTATTACATATGTTTCCTTTTCCCCCCATTGATCTCTCCCGGCTATTCCCACCCCCCCACCCCCAGCACATGCCCTCACCCCGTTACTGTCTGTGTCCATGGGTCATGCTTATATGCATGCATACAAGTCCTTTGGCTGCTCTCTTACCTCTCGCCCCTATTATTATTATTATTATTATTATTACTACTACTACTACTACTACTACTTCTATTGATTTTAGAGAGAAAGGGAGGGAGAAAAACCTTGATTTGTTGTTCCTTACTTACGCACTCATTAGTTGATTCCTGTTTGTGTCCTGACCAGGGATCACACCTGGGTTATCAGGATGACACTTTAACCAACTGAGCTGACCTGCCATGCCAGGGCCCTCCTTCTTTACTAAAGCAGAAAAACATTCCATTTTGTGTATATACCACGTTTTCTTTACCCATTCATCTGTCAATAGACATATAGGTTATTTGCGTAGCTTGGCTATTATATGGGAGTGCAGATATGTCTTTGAGATCCTGATTTCACTATCTTTGGATAAATACCCAGAAGTGGGATTGCTGGATCATATGGCAGTTCTATTTTAAAAATTTTTGAGAAACCTTCATGCTGTTTTCCATAGTAGCTGTAAGAACTGTAAGTTCTTTCTTTGAGATCCCTTTTCCTCCAGTATCTACAGATGTTGCACTCAGAATCTCATTGTTTCTTTTCCCCCCTCATTGTTTCTTTAGCTTAAAGAGTTACTTCCAGAATGTTCCTCCTCATAAACATGTCATCATTTCTTAAATGGTGAGTTTATCCAATATGATGAAACTGCCATAGTTAAGGAGAGAAGCAGTCCAGAGCTCTGAATTATTAGCTACTGCCTGTTTTCTAAGGCAGAAAGGGGAAAGTCAGCATCTGAGCAAGTCCTGTCCTTTGGCCTTCTTCACCTTTGGGTTCTTGATTCTTTTTCCATGATTCCTCCCTACCACACTCCCAGATTCCTTTAGGTTAACAGAAATGCCCGGGGCCTTCTCTCATTAGCCTTTAACTTCATGTCCCCAGATTGATCATCCCTTGGCTGAACCTGACCCTGAACTTGTCAACGGGATAAGGAAAAGCCCTTAGGTTTATCATAGTTTAAAAGGAGGTATCTGGCCTTGGGTAGGTATAGGAAATAGACTGTTTCTGAGGAAAAATCCTAAAGGTACTGGGAACAGACCATTAGGTGTCTTACTGCCCCCATCTGGTAAAAGTGGGGAGTGCTGGGAGAAAAATAAAACTAAAAATGTAAATTCAATTCACACCTATCTGAATCATTTAAAAATCTGGACGTTTACCCTCACAGGCCCTGAAAGTTATGGCCTTCCTGACCAATGAGAAATACAAGCGAGATGAAGCTATCTACACCTGTAATTAAAAAAAATATATATTTTTACTGATTTCATAGAGGAAGGGAAAGGGAAGAGATAAAAACATCAATGCTAAAATAAAATCATTGATTGGCTGCCATCTGCACGCCCCACACTGGGGATTGAGCCAGCAAACTGGGCACATGACCTGACCAGGAATTGAAAGGTTCATAGGTCAACACTCAACCACTGAGCTGAGCTGGCGGGTCTACACCTGTAATTTTAATGTTCCCTTAAAATACCCTCATTTCACAAGTGTGTGAAAATCCCTGCCCTCCCTACCTTAAGGCATTTATACAAAGGATGTGTTTAAGTTTATGATTATTAAAAGAGATGAAGGAAATCCTTGAATACTTCAAATTGTTATCTGCCTTTTTAAAATTGGTTTAAGATTTTTTTATTTAAGATCCCATGGGGAATTAAAACAGTAATTTTTTCTTAGGTAAGAGGCAATTTGATGAATTTTAATAGTTTTTTTAAAATAGCAATTAGGATTTGGAAATGCCTTAAGTAGTTATATTTAGTAATCGTGTGAATATAAAAATATTTTTAGAACTATTGAAACAGAATTATTAATGGAATATAAATATTATCACAAGAATGATCATTTCCCTTTCAGAGTCTGGTATTTACTAATTTCTTATTAAAGTTGGAATTTTGAATATTGTTTCAAATTTACCTCTTCAAGTAATGTGCTTAGTTTATCTAAATATTGAAAGTGACCTTGAAGATGTTGAAACAGAATTTTCAAGTTTCCCCCAAATGTGTAAGTTAAAGAAAATGATCCCCCCCCCAAAAATATATTTTTATTGATTTCAGACAGGGAGAGGGAGAGATAGAAACATCAATGATGAGAATCATTGATCAGCTGCCTCCTGCATACTTCATGTAGGGGATCCAGCCCAAACCTGTGACCTCCTGGTTCATAGGTCAACACTCAACCACTGAGTCATGCTGGCCGGGCAGAAAATAATTTTTTAAAATAGCCGTATTTGAGCAGCTATGAAAAAGGAGTACGAGCTAAGAAAACCTTGGATGAAATTGTTCAAGTATTGTTCACACTTAAGAAAATGTCATCATATGAATGAGAAATTGTCATCAATTCCAGATTGAAAAACGCACCCTCACTCCTACCTCCCCCCAAATGCCATTCATTCACTCCTAGGAAGAGTAGATATGACTGCAGGTCAAGTAATTTGGTAGCAGGTTTTAAAGTTCATTTAATTCATTCATGCACCAAAAGGAAGCAAACATACTTGCTATCTTCCTGCAACTCTGCCCATTCTCAGTGTTCTCTGCAACTACAGGACCATTCATTGCTCCTAGGAAAGCCAGGCCTCCAGTATGGCATTAACTCCCATCCCCTGCCTGAACTGTTGGTGAACCTTGTTTCAGCAATTCTTCTCTGTCTTAGTTGGTTATCCCCTACCTACAATCAACATACAAGCATGCTGCGATTTCCTGTCCAATATAAGCCTCCTATTGATTCCATTTTTTCTAATTATCACTCACATTTCTCCATCCTTTTGCAGCAAAACTTGAAAACATTTGCATAAACTCAGTCTCCATTTTTTCTCCTCTAATTTTGTCAGTCAATATTTTACACTCATCATTTCATTGCAACTGTTTTCCATGTCGAGCATCCAATGGCTGATTCTCATTTCAAAACTTGCCAAAACTGGATAGAGCGTTGGCCAGTGGGCTGAAAGGTCCCAGGTTCAATTCCAGTCAAGGGCATATACCTTGGTTTCGGGTGGCTGATGGATATTTCTAGCTCCCTCTTTCTCTCTGTAAAAAATCAATAAAATAGCTGAAACCCATTTGGCTCAGTGGTAGAGCGTTGGTCTGCGGACTGAAAGGTCCCAGGTTCAATTCCGGTCAAGGGCATGTACATTGGTTGTGGTCACATCCCCAGTAGGGGGTGTGCAAGAGGCAGCTGGTCGATGTTTCTCTCTCATCGACGTTTCTAGCTCTCTCTCTCCCTTCCTCCTCTCTGTAAAATATCAATAAAATTTAAAAAATCAATAAAATATTAAAAAAAAAAAAACCTTAGTTGACTTAGTGAAACAATGAAACAACTTCCCTTTCTGCTTCTTTTCGGCCTCATTTGCTGGTGCTTCCTTATTCACTGGGCTCCTAATTCAGTACTTTGATAACTCTATATCCTCAGGAATCTCCTCCAGTATCATGACTCTAAGTTCTTTCTGTAAACTGTATCCCAAATCTGTATCTGCCCTTACTATCCAATAAACTCCAGACTGTTTGCATCCAGCTGCCTTCTTCACATTGTCATTAGGATTTCTGGATTTCTAACAAACATCTCAAAACAAAAATTCCTGATCTTTCCCCCTAAAGAGCATGTCCTACCCTAAAAAAAGATATGTCTATGTCCTAACCTTTGGAAAGGGTGTGACCTCGTTTTGAAAAAGGGTATTGATAGATATGATTAAGAATCTCTAGATGAGCTCATTCTAGATTACCCAGGTGAGAACTAACCCCAATGAAGTTTTTCCAGGTGACTTTGACATATCAGTAACT